AGCTCAATGTCATGATAGCAAAAATTTTATTATAATACAAGAAAATGGAACATACCATAGTTAATAGAATAGATGGTTTGGAAACTCATTAGAATAACAATATATATACCTCATTATCTACAGGTATGTTAGTCAATGTTTACAGAGGTGTAACTTAACACTTGCCCGGGGCAAGTGAATATCATTACGGGCAAGTAAACGTTTTATCTTGCCCGATTGGGCAAGTTGCCTCTTGCCACAAAAAGCTCGGCTTTCGTTATCGGATAATTTTTTTATGGCGCATGTACTTGATTCAAATTTTGTTTTTTGTGGGCCAAAGCTAGATCTAAGGCAGTATAACATAGCCACATAGAGAATGAGTCGACATGTTGCCCCCTTGATTTATACCCCCTGGCAAATGAATTTTATTCAGGGCAACTAATTTTCATGTCCAATTAACTTGCCCTGAGAGCAAATGGTCAAAAAAGTAAAGTTACACCACTGGTTTATTCATAAATCTGGTCTCTGTATTTTTGCCCAACTAACCAATAGCAATGTCTTAGGAATGTTACCTATCCGTAACTCGAACAATAGGGTAAATTGAAAATTGCAAGAATACAAGGTGGATTTGGCAAGAATACAATACACACATGAGGATGAAGGACCAGATTTATGAATAAATGTTGACTAACATAAATAATGAGTTTGAGAGTTTCAGCCCAACCATCTATTCTATTAACTGTGATGGAACTCATTATGTGCAGATTTACTAAATGGATGAGCTAATTTGATTGAAGTCAACTGCTACTAATGGGCAATGGTCTATTTGTGTTAATAAATTACCTAGGTGACTAGGTCTAACATTTTATACTAAACAACAAACAGGTCTAACATTTATTAATTAAACAACAAGTATATTGTGCTCCTTATTCATTGTTAACAAAAATTTGAAAGAAAAATTGCCTATTCACATTGTAAGGCTAAAATTATGTACATAATTTCAGTAAAAATAAAATAAACAACTTTACCAAGGACAAGTCGAGTGAGTCTTTGTGGATATAGTGACAGTCTTTGCAATTTCACATCAAGGTGAGGCAAAAAACCCAAAAGTTGGTGCAATAAAGAATAGTAGATTAGTTCCTGATTATATACAAACATGTATTATTACCTTTTGCATTTTAATATTGTAAAAAAATATCTATATTTTTATTTCTGTACGTATATTTTCCTCAGAAGAATGATAAAAATGCGTAATACCGCGTGCAACCCCCCTGCTAAGAGACTTGAACTAGTACAATAATTGTATATAACATGAAGTTTCCTGAACAAAATGGAGGAAATTTTAATAAAATATGTTAATGTTTGATCGTAAAATACAAAAAAGCTGCAGGTTTGTGCGAGTGACAACAAGTGAATTCGTACTCAGCGTATAAAAGTGTATAGATTCGTGTGAATTTAAAGTAGTGCCCGAAGGGGGGGGGGGGGCAACAAAACTGAACGAAAAGCGGTCAGGGAATACGGCCTATTGATATATATATAGATTATACCTAAGGTTGGCAACTATATCTCAACTGACGAATATACCACTTCGGGAAAACGAAAAATACTTCGTACACGTAAATAAAACAAGATAAAAAATTATGCCACATTGAACTCTGATATTTTTTCTACATACCCGCATATAAATTTTGTTTTCAAGACTGCAAGAAAGATGAAAAATTTGCACAAACGTTTCATGGTCTGATGAAAATTTTGATGTGCCTATGCGGGATGTCAGAGGTTATTTCATTCGTCATATTTTCAAAAAAATTATGCGATTCAATTGGTTGAAAAAATAAACAGTTTGTGACGTATTTATAGTAAAAATTTGGTTATGGATGGATGTAAAAAGTTTTTAAAATCCACCATTTCATCTTCGAAAAAAAATCGCTCTTGTATTTTAGCAGTCTTCCTGTTGTAGTTCACCCCCCCCCCCTGAAACCAAAGTTTTACTATAAATACGTCACGAACTGTTTATTTTTCATCTTTCTTGCAATCTTCAAAACAAAATTTATATGCGGGTATGTAGAAAAAATATCAGAGTTCAATGTGGTATAATTTTTTATTATGTTTTATTTACGTGTACGAAGTATTTTGCGTTTTGCCGAAGTGGTATATTCGTCAGTTGAGATATAGTTGCCAACCTTAGGTATAATCTATATATATCAACACTGCTTTTCAAATTGAGTGCTTGCGGCGCGCGACAAATGACAAAGGAATGGGGCGAGCTTAATGCAAATTGACATTTGGAAGCATTATTGGTGCATTCTACACGCCGTTTTGGGCTGCCTATGATATGAAACAACTAAACAAGACAGCATGTAATTTTAGTGTGTCTTTATTATTGATTCCCTTTTTTATTATATTGAATTTTTTAAATAGAAAAGAGAGCAAAGTTATTTGCGAGCGAGAATTTGAAATCATTTTATTGCAAACTCAAAGTTTATCGATAAAGCAATTTAATTAAAGGCAGTTTAGTTTTATAAAGATCACTTTTAATTAAAACTTTTGCGAAGCGTTTGGGGTTGAATTTTACCTTAAATTGAGGCTTATATTACGTATAATAACATACCTAACATGTATATGTTGGGAAATTGATAATTTTGTAATTAAAAGTGATATTTTTAGGCGATTTTTCATTTGTAAGAATATTCTTAAAAAATTATTGTGTTACCATGACAACTACTTTAGATACTTCATGTTCGAAAAATACAATGGTTTTGTCAGCAAGGCGAGGGTTTCTGCATGCATGTATTTTCTAGTACTATAATATATACCCAAACATTATACGCACTTCATAATATGGTGTGACAGCATGCAGTGTCCCGCTTTGGAACAAACATAACATAAAGGTGGGTTTGCTTTAAATTATGAAATGATGGTCCTAGTATTAAGTTAGGATTAAATGGTAAGTCTTGTGTTAAATAGTGGGATATTAAGTACTGTTTAATAAACGAGCAGGAGTTTTTATTAGGTTTAAAGACACGAGCGCGAAGCGCGAGGGGCTGTAGACCTAATAAAACACGACCTACGAGTTTACTAAACGGCTTCAAACACGACTACAAATTCAAGAGATATAGTGCCTTATTAGTATTCTTTATATAAACTATAGTAGTATAGTATTCTATATATGAACAACGAGAGCGATTGTTTCACCGGGATATCCTAACACGAGAAAACAATGTATGAAAACACGAGCGCAAAGCGCAAGTGTTTTCATACATTGTTTTCGAGTGTTTGGATATCTGGTGAGACACGAGCTCGAGTTGTTTATATGGCTTCTCAAATGAATCGAGACGTAACAGAATGTTTTCGTTTGCTGATTTGAATAGAATTGTTAACCAAGCATAACGTAATTAGGAATTCTATTCAAGTAATTTAATTTTGCATGCGTAATTAAGATATTTGATGAAAACACTAGTGACTTTCATCAAGTATCCAAATCTGAATTGCTCATGAATTATTAATGAATTTGAGAAATAAAGAATACTAATTAGGAGTGTTTTATCAGGTTTAAAGCCACTGCACGTGACATATTATGGTTGACATGATTTGTCAATAAGCTTATATATGAATCATTAATGAGTGTTTGAAATTATCTAGATTTGTTTGTGAGACGATATTATATGCATATGACCGTGCATGCAATATTGACTGTGCAACGTTTCATATATAGAGGATATTACACGGCGGGGCGAAGATATGACTTTTATCTTCGAGTGGTGAAAACAATATTTTACGAACGAGCGCAGCGAGTGAGTAAAATATTGTTTTTAACACGAGAAGATAAATGTCATTGCTTCAAGCCACCGTGTAATGTTTTATGCTCAAAAGCAAATTGGAAAAAGTCATGTGATCGATATCTTCACTAGTGAAGATGTGGAAATTATCTCACTGTGTATTTTTCAGTATCTCACTCTCTACTATATAATAAATAATTATATGCAAATCAATGCTGACCAGTAACATACAATCGATTTCCATCTGTGTCTTTACGTACTTTATAACTTTGACTTGCATGTGACTTTGAGTCTTGTAATCGGGGTGGATACTGGTAAGATAAAGTAGCGTGGGTTGCGGTTTGAAGTAGCAGACAGAAGTGGTAGCGCAAAAGAAACATGGTGTGTACTATAAAAGACAATGTATTTTCCTTTTTAAACCCGCGCTAAGGTAACTACATGCAGGCGAGCGTTATGGCACATATCTCTACTACAGTCTAGTTGTCATGAAGAGCAAAAATTTCGAGCCAAACATGGTCTATACATGTAGTTATAATTTTGAAGTTATAAGTCAATGCGGACAGTACAGCAGATAGAAAACGCATGTTGCGAATCCCGCTAAAGTTTTTTTAGCACCTATTTCTGCTAGTACGTTAGAACGTGTAACGGTTTCTTTTTCCAATTTTTAAAATATTTTTAATTGCAGAAATTGACGAGTGTGTTGGTGAAAATGATTGTCATGAAAATGCAAATTGTGCAAATACTGTTGGATCATACAACTGCTCTTGTAATGGTGGATTCGAAGGCAATGGTACACACTGCCAAGGTAGAGCGGATATGTTTGTATTGTTTATTTGTTTATATGTCAATGACAGGTTCTGCGACGAAGGCCCACTAGTGTTCTCAACTGCAAAAAGCGCTGATTTATTATAATATACGAATTCTCGTCCTTTTAAACTTTTTCGGATTTTATTTGTTTGTCTAATGCAATTCCATGGCAAACCCTTCAGAATTCATTTGAATTTTAAACGTTTTAACGTTTTTGTAGGACCAGCTTAACTCCTTCAGGAATTAAACCACGTGATTAGCATAAATGTGCTAACATGCACGCAAAATCAATATGATCATAACAAACACGTCCTTTGTGTTTTTCTTGCTTGTGTTTCGACGTTTTTCGGTTTTTAGAGAACATCCTGAATTGATTTAGCTGTATCTGGTTGCGGGAAACTTACAAACATAAAAAAGTGCAATGAAATATTTTAGATATCGATGAGTGCGATCGTGATACGCATGAATGTGATGGCAATGCAACATGTACAAATACAAGAGGCGGTTACAACTGTACCTGTTATAGCGGTTTCAGTGGCGACGGATATGTTTGTGAAGGTGATGTAGTTTTTCTTCTTCGAAAAATTGACACTTTGTACTACAAATCTAAGATCAAATAATAAAATTTTGCAATATGGCTCGTTTTAGCCTGAAATTTTTAAATTAACATGAGAAATGATGAATCTTTTATCATTCATTCTTCATAAGGTTTACAGTAATTCCACTGCCTCGTACCCAGGCGCTTACATGAAGTATTTAGGTAGGCATCCGACGCGCGAAGGGGCTGTTGGGAAGGGTGCGTGCTGGGGAGCGCCTGGCAGTTCTTGTATACTGTCATGGCGGGAAAACAGGGAATTTTATACAAAAAGTTACCATATCGTCATATACTTTGTGTGTAAAACCTTACTTTGTGATGAAGAGTTGAATTGAACGCCATTGGCAAATAATAATACATTTGTAGATGTTCGATGACATGCAAAATGCGCGAAAAATTATGAGTAATTAACATGACAAGTTAACCGTGCGAATATTTCGAATATGTCATTCGATATTACATGGAGAATAATAAAATGCTATCAGTTGCTCAGTTAGCATAAAACAGTAACAGAGAAATGATTAGAAAGTCATATAATTGCTTTTGTATTAATAATTTCTTTAGCTGAAAGCTCAATCAGTCGATCACAATGTCAATGGCAATTTCTATTAAATGTATACTGTAAACAAAAGCCCAAGTAAATAAAAGTTCACAGCCGGAAAGTTTGAAATATTTATTACAATAGTGCAATTTTATAGTCTGTACCTTTATATAGTTATAGCTTACAAATCTAGTTCCTGCAAGTATAGTTCTTCAACGCTTCGGTTGTTGACATGTTAATATTGGAATTTCCATGGACTTTAAGGGCATATATATGTCATATATACCAAGAATAACAGCATGAATTCACGCCCGAATGACAGAAGAATATTAACATTAGTCAATTCAACAAAAACAAGTAGCAAAAAATCGTAAACGACAACGAAATAGCACAACTTGCAAGAAATCGTACAAATTTGCAAGAAATCGACCAAGAACTGCCAGGCGTCTCGCAGTTCAAGTGCGCTCTTCCCATCAGCCCCTTCGCCATCTCTCCCCACTACAATGCTTCATGTAAACTCGTCATATGGTCATCACTGTTTTTTTACAAAGAGACGCCTGGGTACGAGGCAGGTAATTCCACGTTTCATTTTATGCGAAGAGTTCCCAAATTTTTGAAAGATTACGATTACGTGCATACATGTACGTAGTTATAATATCTATAGGTATAAGTAATAAATGGGAGCGAAAAGTAAAGCGGATGGATAACACGGGTTGTGGTCATAATTAGTAGCGGATCCTGGAAATTAAACAGAATATTTTATTTATAGGGCGGCCTATTTTTCCCCCAAGCCAACGGCGCGGAGCGCCGTTCCGGGCGTAAGCCCGGGGCGAGGGTACTAATTCCACCCGGCTATTTACACTCGATGAAAGGAGCGCACTAGCGAAGTCTAAAGTTCATCAAATATCGCAGGTGCATGGCTCACCGTTCATGGGTGGTCATCCTGACTGATCTCCAAATATGTAGCGGACTGTCGTGAATAGTGAACACTGATTAGTCTAATTTGAAATTTGCATTATAACGACTGCATGACAACAGCGAAATAACAAACATTTCTATCAAGTTGGATTTTTGCAAGTTTTTGTAAATTTCAAAACCTTTCTGAGAACAAAAAAATGTCTAAAAACGTCTAAAAGTATGGAACAAAGTCGTCGACATTAATGAAGGTAAGTTTGTTTTTAATATTGATGTATTGTTTGTTTTGTAATTACTTTAAAAACTGATACAATCGTTGCGTATATGAGTGTAAAAAGACAGCATATAATTTTAGTGTATTTGCTGACGCAGCGAGCGAGCCTGAAGCGAGCGAGCAAGTGAGCAGTTCTAATTCGTATTGGGCTCTGAAAGTAAGATTTTACTTCCGTTTCTCCGACCAGAATGCACTGCTGTTAACGGACCAGAATGCATTGCTGTTAGCCGACCAGAATGCTTTGCATGCTATAAATACGGGGAATCTCATTAGTCAGTTTGTACAAGCCGGTAACAATGCAGTTCTTTTGGTGTATTTTGTATTTCATTGTATGCCTGGTCTGTTGACTTCTGGCTGGTCTTACACTATATATATATATATATATATATACTAAATTTGTTTATTACAAACAATTTATAACGCTTAGAAAGCGAATTTATGCGTTTGACAATGTGCTCTTCGCCTTATTTTCTTTTGTCTTTTCTTATTTCATTTAGCACTTAGCAGTAAAATCAACATCGTATTTGTACGTCTGAAAGCGTTCATTTCAAGCATTAAAAGCGAATCAATTATTGTCCATCAGTTTTACTTTGCTATAATTTAAACAGGGTTTAGGTTTTGGACCTTTTGTTTGAATATGATTTGACAATAAGGTAATTGACACGGAGACATGGCATGAACAGTCCGGCAACTGCCAACTATGTTTATAGCATGGCGTTTTAAAAGAACGATGCTTTGCGTGCTATTTTATGGGTTAATTGAATGTATTTGGCTGCCAAAAAGCACACTACACTATACTCAGTGCATACACAACACAACTTAATTTATGCATGGCATTGTTTAAGCATGCAACGCAGCCAGGGGCAAGTCAGTAGGATCGTGCATGGAATTGAAGTATGTCCATTGAATATTTTTTATAATTGATCATGCTTTTGTTATGTTAGGCATGTGTCGAAACATTAAAGACAATGTCCTTAACTCTACAGATTGCATCAAAAAACCTGGAAACCTTTGAAGTACAATGTTTTTAGAATTTGCATGATTCAGAACTAATTGATCCCAAGCATGCGTAAACACAATAGTTGACCCATTCGCAGAATCGCAGTCGAGCAGATAATTAGTTTTTTGCGTTACAAATAAATTTTTGTTATTCTAACTTCTATCAACGCGGTTAGTTAGAATGTATTTCCAAATCCCAGGAGCAAAATAAGTAGCACAAGCATTGAAATGCTGGTAAGCAGCAGAATTATGCAAATTATAGTGTTTCCAGGTTTTTTGATACACCCTGTAGTTTTCAAAGTAACGTGGCTTTAATTTGACGTCCTTGGATGCAAGTTTTGCTCCATGCACGTGTTTTATAACGATAAAGTTAGTGTTGAGCTTACTGTCAGTTACGATGGGTTAGGAGCTCACGAGATTGTATTTAAACTGGGATGCGTTGTTAATTTGGAAAGATGAGGCCGTTTTTCATATATCGTCAAATTAAGGAGCAAGCCAGAATTTATACTACTGATAAGTATACTAGTTGTATTAATTATCCTTTCTTTTGTATATTAAAATATTTAAATAAACGGAAAAGCAATGTTATTATATTTTCATGCGAGAATTTGAAATCAGTTTATTTCAAACTCAGTGTTTACCGATAATTCGATAAAAGGCAGTTTAGTTTTAAGAACATTTTGGAAGTTTTACACTTTACCGTATCGGAGCAGTCGCTGAATACATACGCCATCAAAACACACTAATAAAAGAACGGAAAAACCGTCAGAACACACGCCATCAAATACTTGCGGTACGGTAAAGTGTAACGTTCCCAACATTTTAAAACGTTTTGCGCGAAGCGTTTGTGGTTGAATTATACATTAAATTGAAGCGTATAATTATTACGCATAATAACATACGTATAATAACTAGCATTTAAATATGTTTGGGAAATTGATCATTTTGTAATTAAAAGTGATATCTTGGGTGGATTTTTCAATTTTAAAACTATTCTTAAAATTATCGTGTTACCACGACAACTACTTTCAATACTTCAGTGTGACTTCATGTTCAGAAAACATGATGGTTTTGTCAGTAAGGCGAGGGTTTCTGCATGTATGTATTTTTTAGTTATACCCAATAAAGATAATACACGCAAGCGAGCGTTAGGTGACTTTTCCACATATATCTGTGGTAGTAATTTAGAAGTCCAAAAGTTTCTGTTTCCAATTTTTAAATCATTTTCTACTGCAGAAATTGACGAGTGTGCTGGTGAAAATGATTGTCATGACAATGCCAATTGTACAAACACTATTGGATCTTACAACTGCTCCTGCAATGATGGTTTCGAAGGCAATGGTACATACTGCCAAGGTACTGTATAGCAGACATCGTAACCCCGTTACGTTTATCTGGAAATATTTTCACAATTTAAAGTGGTCAAAACTAACATACAGCGTATAACTAATATGAAAAATAACTTTAAAATGTAACATATTGTTCCACTTTTCAATTTCCTCAAAAAGACCTGGGAAGTATAGATCAGCGATGCGGGGATGTCAAATGACTGAAAATATATTTGTCTGTTAGTACGCAAGACTATGGTAGTTAACTTGCACTTCAAAGGTTTCAATTTGGCTATGCTAATCAACACCTTGCCATAGGCCACGACAATGCAACTTAAGGGATGTGTGACATATTTGTGAGGTCTGCCTTATTTGGGCAATTCATGAGGTTTGTAATTGGCTAATTATATAATTGAAAATTTTTTTTCTCTCGTCACAACAACTACAGTATATAGTAAAAATAGAAAAATATCTACTGTATAATGGTAAGTCAGAATTGACCTTATGTTACTTCTGAATATACTGTTCATATACATATTGATGAATGTGTTTCCGGAAGCAATAATTGTCATGGTAATGCGATTTGTTAGCGCACTTGCGTTTCACCTCTAAGATCGCTGGTTCAAATCTCAATGAGAATTTCTCAATGTGACTTGAACCCAGTCCTCATGTGAAAAGAGTAAAAGTCAACGCTCTGCCGAAAGTCGTGGGTTTTTCTCCGTGTACTCCGGTTTCCTCCCACAGGGAAAGTTGACAGGGTGGGTTAGGCACATAGGTCAGGTGGCTGATCATTAACGAGGTAGGGACTGTAAGAGAGGCTGCTTAGAGCTCCATCTGTAAGCTTACAGTCTACCTTGGTCGGCTCTAATGTAATCAGTCACTGAAAAACCCTGATAGGGGAGTCTGCTGGCTAATATATGTATGTAACTGTACCAATAAAATTGGTTCCTACACATGTGAATGTAAGGAAGGTTTTACCGAAAATGGCGTAGATTGTAAAGGCAGGACAAAAACTGGTTTTCTAACTTCATTCTGAAGTCATACAAGACGTCTTGATTTCACATGATAGTGCATGAGTCATTTTACAGAACCTGAGATCTTTCATATCGTATTAATGAGTTTTAGCTCTCAATGTGTGGTAAACCTTCTTTTCCCGGTATTTTCGCTTGTTTTCCAACGTGCTGGTTCTTTTATGCACTTCGCTAGAGTGGTAGCCTGACATAACTTAGTCTAACTATATCAGTCGCTCCAGTGTAACTTTGTTTTATATTTCTCGCTCTTCACTCTTATATTTCTCAATACATTGTACACATGTGGTCCTCTTATTGGAGATGTGATTTTGATTAAAAATTGAGTGCGTCCGTAACCTCTCTTTTGTCTTATAATTGCTGGGGCTGATTGTTAATTTAATTTAATTTATAAACTTTAAAATCAACAAAACGATTGAAGCGACAGACAATCGGACTGGGGAGTCCCTAATTAAGTCCTACTACACATTACATTGACATTGTGAAACAATAAAGTCAGGGTTAAAAACTTTAACAAAGCTACAACACAAAATTACAACACACGATCAATGAGTTCCATACCATCCTTACACTTTCAAAAACATTGTACAGCATTGACACAGTCACAGAATATAGTAAACATCCTAAACATGCATGTGTTCCAAATACGTTGTCCCTGCATTTTCCAAAGATAGCTATGCTTTCAAGAATTGTTCTCATGTCGGCTTTTGATTATAATTTAATTTATTTGAACGGACAGACACAAAAGGCATTTTGGAAATCCAAAGACAGCTTGCAACGCTCTCAACACTAATAAAAAACAAGTTATAGAACAAGAACAACATTTAGAAAAAATGGTTTTCGATGTCCTTGGACGATCAACGTCAAAGAATGTTTAAAGTCGGCCGGTTGATGCTTAATGTTTAATGTTTAATGCTGGGTTAGCACTAGCCCTGGGTTGTACTTTTAACAACTACTAATTAACAATTGGACAACGAAGCCGGGTTGACTATTCGCTCAGAGACAAGGAGGCTGAGTTGTCTAAATATTTTAGTACATGTATAAACCACGTAAAGAAAACTGGATTTTTAAATTGATTTTTATGTGAAATAATAACTTTGTAACGAAATGAGCGGTTTAAAAAGCTTCCTTTGGCGACATTTCGCCTCAGTCTTGTTGACAACTAATCAGTGTTGCGACCTCCCAAGAATGACTTGAAAAATACGAGTTATAAAAAAGTTAAAAAACCTGTGGTATAATAGTAAGGCTAGGGGTCGGCATACCAGCTAAAAGTTTGGCAAATTAAAAAAAGGAACTATAATACAAAATTGTTTTCTTTTTCTTCAGACCTTTGTCAAGTACCAATTCTCTATTATGCTAACAGTTCTACAATTGACACTTACAACACCAAGGCCGGTGATCTTTCATCAAACTTTTTCTTGAGATCTCCTGACGCTCAACTGGTCTACGACAAACATAATCGTCAAATTTTAATGTATGCATCAGGCACAACTTTATCCAGAGTAACTTTGGATGGCTCTAATATAACAACCTTGGCGACAGATGAAGAGCATATTCGACGGTTTACATATGATGGTCGTCGTAATATTATCTATTATATTCATGATGCAAGAGATGCTATACATATGTTAAACCTAACAAATATGCAGGATAATGAAATTGGTGCTTTGGCTCTTATTTCCAACATTCAAGATCTTGACATTGATGTATTGAATGAGTAAGTAAAGAATGATAGGGCTGATAACAGTATAATATATTATATCAGTGAAATAATACAGGACTTGTCTACATAAGAAATCCTGCGTTCACCTGCCCCTGAGACAAACAACGGTCAGTCTTCTCGTTGCAACTTAGGAATGATCGCAACCATGGAATATGCAAGTTCTACTGAGCAAAATCGGTGAATAAAGTAGATCACCCCCCCCCCCCCCCCCCTACCGTTATGGCCAGGCATTTGTGTGGTTGGAGCGAGTTCTTACTGCCGTTCCAATTCATTCTCACACAATGAATATTTGACCCACTTGTATCCCTCATTGCGTTGGGTAAACCCAATGTTTTCATGAAGTGAAAATTGCGTGACGTAAACACTTCTAAGAGTTATTCGACAGGTTGCTATATTAGTACACAGGCTTGATTTTTTTTTTTGGGGGGGGGGGGTGGTCTGAACTACAAGCACAGTCGAGGACCTGTATATGAGTTTGTATGCAGTTCATTTAGGACAGATAATCTCAACTGTTTTAGGGTAAGTTGAGCATGACAGTCAACATGATAACGCTGCCCGATCACCAATTCGGGACGAAACGTCCGAAACCGACCACACCCAAAAACGACGCTTTCGCCATAGTGCTATCTACCAAACCATACAAGGTTTGGCTATTCTGAGGTGCATATATGGTTCAGAGATGGTGCTTTTAGGAATGACTTGATATTTCACAAGAAAATGACCATACAATACTCATAGTCAAATGTCAATTTGTGGCTTACAACTTCAGATAAACAGCAGTGGACCTACATTACCTTTTTTCCTAAATCTTTTTGATAGAAACATAATTGGTACTTATTTAATTATATTATTACTGTTTTGGTGTAAAATGGTTAATATTGTGTGACCGAGTTAATAATTTGAAATGTACCTACCTCCTGCAAATGGACGTATTTGGCCAAATTGTCCACTTTACTCCGCTGTTTATCGCAGTTCTCGTTGAAATCATTCCAAATATGCAATTCAGCTCCAACATAACGGTATCAAGCACATTTTAAACTAGTTTTAACTGGGTTTCAAGTAGATCCAAGCTGTTTAACCATCGACAAGGTAAGACATTAACTTTGTCCAAATTCAGCGCCGTTTTGTTATCCCGTTCGGCTGTCCACAATTCGGCCTCGTTCTTCTTCCATCCAAGCCATTTAACAAGTAATAATGACAAATTTAACCCTTTGTTAAGGGTATTAAAGTAAAAATACAAGTAAACTATGCGAAATGCAGCATTTTATCACCCTGTAAGATCTTGCTTACGAGTCTTTCAAAACATTCCGTACAAATCTCGCGTGGCAAAGTAACAGGGACGTGACCGGGGAGTGGAGCCTTCAAAAATAAAGGCAAAGGCATGCAAAACGCAGTATAATGATAAAACTAACAATCAACATTTAATTTGTATTTTCATATTACAAGTAATAATATGTATTTATTTGTCGCTACAAGAAATAAAACAAACGTTTGTATGATTGTATTTAGTTTTAACTCTATATTTCACGCAGCCTTCGTGAAAAAATTCAACCCCTGTCACGTCCCTGGTACTTTGCCACACGAGATTTGTACGGAATGTTTTGAAAGACTCGTAAGCAAGATCTTACAGGATGATAAAATGCTGCATTTTGCATAGTTTATTTGTATTTTTATTTTAATACCCTCAACAAAGTGTCTTAACACTTTTTAACACTTTTCAAATTTAAAAATTTGTCATTATATTACTTGTTAAATGGCTTGGATGGAAGAAGAACGAGGCCAAATTGTGGACAGCCGAACGGGATGAAAAAGTGGCGCCGAATTTGGACAAAGTTGAGGTTTTACCTTGTCGATGGTTAAACAGCTAGGATCTACTTGAAACCTAGTTAAAACTTGTTTAAAATGTGCTTGATACCGATATGTTTGAGCTGAGCCGCTTATTTGGAAGGATTTCAACGAGATCTGCGATAAACAGCGGAGTAAAGTGGAGAATTTAGCACGTCCATTATTAGGTACATTTCAAACATTTCGGTCACAAAATATTAACCATTTTACACCAAAACAGTAATAATATAATTAAATATGTACCAATTACGCTTCTATCAAAAAGATTTAGGAAAAAAGGTAATGTAGATCCACTGCTGTTTAACTGAAGTTATAAGCCACAAATTGACATTTGACTATGAGTATTGCATGGTCATTTTCTTGTAAAATATCAGTGCTAGGCATTTCACACTTACCAATGACCACCCCTAAAATCACCATCTCTGAACCATATAAGCACCGCGGAATAGCCAAATCTTGTATGTTTTGGTAGATTGCACTATGGCGAAAGTGTCGTTCTTGGGTGTGGTTGATTTCGGACGTTTCGTCCCAGGGCCTTTACGCGGTTCAGAGGCTCTGGTACGGGAAGCAAAGGCCCTGGTAAACACTGGTCACGTGTGTCCAAAAATATTGGGCATTTTTGTAACCTCGCCATATTAAGGTCATGTTATCCCGGGTGGGGTGATGAACAACTGAACATTGCAATGCACGATCTATAAACGTTTCAATACAAATGATTTTGCCTTTGGTTTTTAAAATATGAATGTATAACAATTGTTTGAAAATTCATATTTTAAAACAACAGGCAGCAGATTTTAAGATTGTTTTTATTTTGATGGAAATTATAAACTTTGAAGTCACATGGATTTTGAATGCTATAAAGAATGCAGTATATTCGAGGTAAACGATTTTATAATGCATATATACCCGATATATAAAATTATATTCTATATTTTAATATTTATCAGTTTATATATCCTAAATTCCAGCAGATTCGTGGCTGTCTGTTTGTATAATTAGTTTTCTTCGTTTAATTACTTCTCCATCTTTCGCTTTTGGATATAAACCCTCCTTCATTTTTTTTTTTTTGGTTATCACCATCCTTCACTTAGTTCACTAAAATCAAAATTTTCTGTTCCAGCTTGCTCAGAAAATATTCAATCTTTCATAACTGGAGTTCTCTTTGACATGTAAAATAGTTAGGCAGTACCCTCAGTAAAATACTTATTTAACTGACTGACCATTACAGTACTAGTCGAAAGTTAATAAATTAATACATGCAAAAACTAATAATTAATAAATTAATAACTGCCCTCATACCAATCTATTGGCCTCTGACAGACTGACTCATCCAATAAATACTTAACATAATAGTACGATAATAATAGAAAAGTGTGAAAATGCCAACGTTACCTAACTTTGTGTGACAAGAAAGTTAGATTACATTAATTTTACATTCAGGTATTATTTTCTTTATCGCCTCAATACTCTGGTTGATGATTTCAATGGCCGCCATAAAATTCCAATGGCCCCCATAAATTTCCAATGACCCCCATAATTTTCCAATGGCCCCCCATAAATTTCACTGGAGAAAATGTTTCCCCCACCTCTTGCCACTATTAAATCTTCATAGCCCCAAATTTTACCCATCCAAGGGAGAGTCTTGCGTGGTCACACTACAGTAATGAGAATATGGGATAATCAAATATGGCATACTTTGGTATTTTTCTCTGTCCAACACCAGACAATTTTACTTGTCAAGTGTATGATTAAGTGTGTAATAAAAAGTGGATGAATATTCTAATTTTTGCTCCATATAATTGGACTTTGGTTGTGAGCAAAATGTAAAAAGACAATTATCAGTAATACTGGTCGTACTACATCCCTATTATTTACCTTGCAACCTTGAGCAGTTGTGCTGTTACTAATACAGGAGAACGTGGTTTCATATTACAGTTATTTTATGGCATTTATGATATTCCAGTGTGCCAGTAAGACATTTGTCGTTTGTTTCTCTTTTAGTATTATATCGAAATGGTGATTGCAGATATTCAGATCCTGGAGTGATGTGAAATGGCCCTGACCTTGGGCAATTAAGTAATATATGCGTGGAGTAAAATAGGAAATTTTTATTCATTCTGATTGACTAATAAAATTAAAGTGGTGGGAATAATGATGATGATGGTAGTGAAATACAAGTTGTGATAATATTGGTGATGCACAAGTTGTAATGATACTGCTGATAATGAAAATATATTGTATTTGTACATACCAATTGTAATGAGACATAAATAATGGCAGTAATGAATGTGTATGACTTGATCAATTGTACTAGTGAGAAGGCAATATACTGCCACCCAGATGAATTAAGTCCCACGGCATTTTGTGTCCAAAACTAACTGTTCTCATCAGCTCCAAGCATAACTGGGAAGCTGGTTTCAGTCCTGTTAGCTGATCTTGAAACTATGTGCACACATATAAATATTTATTTTCTCCCCTCATGAATTATATTGTTTGCACAAAAAATCGGTTGATTAATTCATCTAGAAACAGTGTGAATGTTGTTTGAATTTGGTAGGCTATGTCCACTCTGTGACAAGTGAAAGTGATATGTAATTCATGCATAATATGGTGATATTTGGTTTCAGGATATAAAAAATGAAATTTACTTACTCATAAAATTCAGTGTAACCATATTCATTAAGCCTCTGTGTCTCTTATTAAAACCCTACTTCCTCAATACAAATAGAACTCTGCATAGCCGGATAAGACTGAATAGGTTTTTAATTTTACTGACAAAAGTATGATGCATCAAAACACCCAATTTTTTAGACCAGCTGTGAATAATAATACTTCAATTAAACCCAAGAGAATTTTTATGGGAAAGAAGTAATTATAGTATTCTCGGTAAGTGGAATAATTGACCATCATTATGGAAATTATGTAGGCTGAAGCATTTAAAATGTTTAAGAATGTAATTGTTGGTTTTTAACCAAAGCCAAAGATATTTGAAAACAAAGTATGATATGTCTGTCAGAGTCTCGGTGCTCAACTATCGGTGTATTATTTGTAAAAAGTGTCGGTAGTCACAATGGTGACAATAACATTTGTGTGGTTAATCTGGTTGAAGCAGAGATTTAATTGATCTCCTGATAAAAGGCATGTTTTCT